CCCCCCCCCACAGGCATGCTGACATCACTCAGGTGACGCCTGCATGTCGTGCACAGCATTGGGGGTGGGAGGAATTTCCTCCCACTGGCGGGCAGGAGCCTGCAAAAGCAGGGAATCCCCCACCCCCCCTGGGGGAATGGTACCTACCTCAACAATAGGCTCTTAACACTTTGTTTAAGGTATCTATGATCTATGTATGGAAACCGGAGGAGGCTGAAGTTGATTCCCAGTTCCTTATTCATTCCATATTCATTCCTTATTTGTGAACCGAAGCACAAATATGGAGGAAAATATAAAAGTGCTGAACCCCCAAATGAGATTTGGAACACCATAAATCATACACCCCAAGATGCAGGGGACTGTCCCCTTCGAGAAGACATATGCTGCTCTCTGGTCCAACGCTTGCTTCCTTTGCCAGCTGCTCCAAAGTGGTGTGCCCCCAGGACAATTGCACAGGTGGACACTGGGGCCAGCTGCACCCCAAAACAATCTTTGGACCACCCCAAATGACATATCCCCACATTTTGGAGAATATCCCCTGCAAGAAGACATACAATAGTGCCAGTCCAAACACTGGTTCTGGCACCACGAGCTTCTATTTGGATTGCCCCCAAGAAGCCTCCAATCCATTGCAAAGGAAATTTGAATAAGGAACTGGAACGACTGCATGTCCACCGCACCCCAAAATAAAGTTTGGACCACCAAACATCATACCCCCCACGTCCAGGGGACTCTGCCCTCTGACATATGTTGATTCTTGGGACAAAACCCACTTCTTGTACCAGCTGCTGCAAAGTGGGGTGCCCCCGTGGTCAATCACACAGGCAGACACCGGGGCCAGGCTGCACGGCAAGCAATATTTGAACCACCCCAAGTGAAACATCCCCACACTCTGGAGAATGTCCCCTGCAAGACGACATACAGTACTGCTCAGTCCAGACACTGATTCTGGCACCAGAAGCTTCTATTTGGAGTGCCTCCAAGAGGCCTGTATTTCAAAGATTTGAATAAGGAACTTGAATGACTCCAAGCCCTCTGCACCCCAAAATAAGGTTTGGATCACCACAGATCATACACCCACATGTTTAGGGGACTCTACCTTTCGAGAGAGTATATGCTGTTTCCTGGTCAAAAGCACAGTTGTTGTGACAGCTGCTCCAAAGTGAGATGCCTCCAGGGTAATCACATAAATAGGGCCTCCCCACTAGAAAGGTCCTAGCTCCGGCCCTGTTTGGATCACCACAAATGTGCAAGTTTTGTACATAGATGTGCAAGGTTTGGATCACATATACACCCACATGTTCAGGGGACTCTACCTTTCGAGAGAATATATGCTGTTTCCTGGTCAAAAGCACAGTTCTTGTGACAGCTGCTCCAAAGTGAGATGCCCCCAGGGCAATCACATAGGTGGACACTGGGACCAGGCTACACCCCAAAATAATCTTTGGACCACCCCAAATGACACATCCCCACACTCTGGAGACTGTCCCCTGCAGGAAGACCTACAGTTGTGCCCGGTCCAAAGCCTGGTTCTGGCGCCATAAGCTTCAGTTTGGAGTGCCTCCGAGAGACCTATATTTCAAAGGAGATTTGAATAAGGAACTGGAATGACTGCATGCCCTCTGTACATCGAAATTAGGGTTAGACTGCCACATGTCATACACTCTCATCTTCAGGGGACTCTCCTCTCTGAGAGGACATATGCTGTTTCCTGGTCACAAAGTGCAGTTCCTGTGCCAGCTGCTCCAAGTGGGGTGCCCCCAGGACAATCGCACAGGCAGACACTGGGGCAAAGAGGAGGTTGAAGATTGTCCTGGGGGACCTCACTTTGGAGCAGGTGGCACAAGAAGTGGGCTTTGGACCAGGAAACACCGTATGTCTTCTTGAAGGGAAGAGTCCCCTGAATGTAGAGGTATATGATGTGTATGGGCCCAAACCTTATTTTCGGGTGCAGAGGGAATGAGGTATTTCCAGTCCCTTATTCAAATCTTCTTTGAAATACAAGCCTCTTGGAGGCACTCCAAATAGAAGTTTGTGGTGCCAGAAGCAGTCTTTGGACCAGGAACCACTGTATGTCTCCTGGCAGAAGACAGTCTCCAAACTGTGGGGATATATATTTTGGGGTGGTCCAAAGACTGTTTTGGGGTGCAGCTTGGACCCAGTGTGTGCCTTTGCTATTGTCCTGGGGGCACCCCACTTTGGAGCAGCTGGTACAGGAACTGGGCTTTAGACCAGGAAACAGCATATGCTCTGTCAAAGGGGAGAGTCCCCAGAATGTAGGGGTGTATGACGTGTAGTGGTTAAAGATGGCATGTAGACATTCCACTTTTTTATTCAAATCTTCTTTGAAATACAGTCTTCTTGGTGGCACCCCAAATAGAAGCTTGTAGTACCAGAACCAGTTTTTGGACCGGTCCCCACTGTATGTCTTCTTGCAGGGGATATTCTCCAAAGTGTGGAGATGTGTCATTTGGGGTGGTCCAAAGATTGTTTTGGGATGCAGCTGGTCCCAGTGTCCACCTGTGCAATTGTCCTAGGGGCACCCCACTTTGGAGAAGCTGGCACAGGAAGCGGGCTTTGGACCAGGAAGCAGCATACGTCCTCTTTAAGGGGAGAGTCCCCTGAATGCTAGGGTGTATGATTTATGGTGGTCTAAACTTCATTTGGGGGTTCAGAGCTTTTATACTGTCCTCCATTTTGTGCTTCTATTCACAAATAAGTCATGAATAAGGAACAAATAAGGAACTGGGAACCAACTTCAGCCTCCTGGAGATTGATAAGGGAGGCAGACTTTTGTTAATTTTAGAATTATTGTTTCAGAGCTGTGTTATCTAGTCAGGAGTTCATTTGGGACCCTCATTTTGGAAGCCTGTGTACAGAGTGTTCAGCTAGAGACTCCTTGGCCTACGAGCAAGAGGAACAAGAGGAAAAAGATGGACTTTGGGGGTGGCAAGTTGTGAAGGAGGGAGAAGTTAATTGTTTGGCCTTTAAAAGATCACTGTTCTGTTGTGTCACTACAATCTATGTTTTCTTACATGATATGCTGTTAAGTGAAAAGTAAAAATGTTTTATTCTCTTTGAATTATCACAAGATTTATTCCAATTTCTGTCCCACAGAACCCACAAACTGAGGTTACGGTTGCACTGCTTTCTATCTGATCAGGTCAATGTCTGCCTAGTTGAGGACAATAGTATGAGATATCTGATCTTTCCAGTGGTCAATGGGTGGCTTTGCATATATTACAAAGTACCAGCAGCTCTTTATGCACCATTTCCCCAAGCTTTTACAGGGTGTGTTTTTTCCTTTGGAGGAAAAACCCTCGGTTACTTGTGGCCAGTATGAATCTCCTGTAGGTAGGCCAAAAATGTAGACAGCTATAGTGGTCCCTAACAAAAAAGAAAGAAAGAAAGGCATGTTAAAACCAACCAAAACAATACAACCAACAGCACTGTGTTTTTATTTGTTTGGCTTTAAAGGCCAGTCTAGCAACAAAAGGACAAGCTGTCAACTATTGGTTGTTATGTTTTCAGTTGGATGGCTTCTGCTGTTTGCATCTTGCTCCTAAGCATGTGAAGAGCACCACCTGATACTAGCCACACACTGCTGTCCCCACTGGTGTTTGCAAAGCACTCTACTCACAATGGTAATGAAGGTTTTTAGAAAATATTGATAGAAGTGTGCCTGCATACGGAAGCTTATACCTTGAATAAAACGCTGTTCGTCTTAAAGGTGCCACTGGACTCAAACTTTGTTCATTTTAAATGCTGCTTTGGCAGCAGCTGCCAGCACAGCGCAAGGACCTACACTGTGTTACTGAAATTAAGTTGTGGCAATCATTTTGTGGCTGGCTCCACCTCATACGGCAGCCATTCTGTTGCTGTGCCCACCGTGCCGTGTCAAGTCCAAATATGACTGCAGGCTCAAAAATGTATGTATTTATTTTATTTATTTCTTGAACTTGTACTCTGCCCTCCCCGCCAAAGCATGCTCAGGGGACCCCTCATACAGAGACTATGAAAGCCCTTCCTATGGTTCCTGCGTCCTGCCTGCAAGGGAGCTGTATTTGTCCTTTGGCATTTGAGATGGTTTTTGGATGCACTTGGGCGGTGTCTGTATTTCTGTCAGAGCACCTAGGAGGACATGGACTAAATGCAGCTTCCCAGAGACCGTGCTGGAACTCAGCACCTCCGCAGGTAAGTGA